TAGTACTACAAAAAATTATTCGGTAGCCTGCCACTATTATCACCAACCAGGTGATCAAAAGTACGTCCAGTACTCCAAAATTATTCAGCAGCCTACCGCTATTATCACCCACTAGGTAATCAAAAGTACGCCCAGTACTCCAAAATTATTCGGCAGCCTGCTGCTATTATCACCCACTAGGTGATCAAAAGTACGTCCAGTACTCCAAAAATTATACATGAGCATCACTCATGTCAATCATACATAAACATTCATGAGCATCACTCATGATAATCATACATAAACATTCATGACCATCATTCATATCAACATTCATGAGCATCACTCATGTCAACATTTATGAGCATCACTCATGTCAACATCCATAAGCATCACTCACGTCAATCAACATAAACATTCATGAGCATCACTCATGTCAATTAGCTTCGAAAGCTTCATTTACAAAGCTCCAGCTTCGAGAGCTCCAGCTTCAAAAGCTTTATTTTACAAAAGCTCCAGCTTCAAAGCTTCACTTGCAAGGCTTTACCTACAAAGCTTCAGTGCAGGGTATACAAATATCGCATCTGAACAACCGCCACTTCAGCCCATATATGGATTCAATTTGAAGTCTCCAGCCAACATACTCTATTGACTAAAGACTTAGGGGACTACATTATGTACCATATATTGGGCATCATAAAAAATAATTGGGGGACTTAGCCCATTATTCATGTACTGAGGAGCGAACCCTTATTCTATAAAAGGGACTCCCTCACTTTCATTAGAGAGCACCCATTATTTATGTACTGAGGAGCGAGCCCTTATTCTATAAAAAGGACTCCCTCACCTTCATTAGAGAGCATCGCCGCCAACTGAGCAACCGTCTCGCCGTGAGCATCACTCCTAACCCATCACTTATGTATTGAGGAACGAGCCCTTATTCTATAAAAGGTACTCTCTCACCATCATTAAAGAGCATCGCCGCCTGGTGAGCAACCACCTCGCCGTGAGCATCAACTCTAGCCTATCACTTATGTATTGAGGAGCGAGCCCTTATTCTATAAAAGGGACTCCCTCACCATCATTAGAGAGCATCGCCGCCTACTAAGTAACCACCTTGCCGCGAGCATCAACTCTAGCCCATCATTTATGTATTGAGGGGCGAGCCCTTATTCTATAAAAGGGACCCCCTCACCTTCAACGCCACAAGCCGAGCCAACCAAGGCAACATAAGCCACAAGCCGAGCAGCCTCGCAACATGTGCTACTTCTAATTGAGCATCATTTCACATTAAGCACCGCCTCATATCAAGTATTCAGTTTTAGACGACATCTAGTTACTTCAGCCCACACATAGACTGAATTGTAAGTCTCTAGCCAAAAGACTATCTTGACTGAAGACTTGGAGGACTACTGTTTGTACCATACTTAGGGCCTCCGTATTTAGATCTCGTATAAATACTCGGGGGACTCAAATGTAATTATGTAATAAATGAATGGGCAAATATGTAAAAAGGGAAGGAGCCCTTAGTCTATAAAAGGGCCTCATCACCCTCACAATACTCAAGCTCTGAGATTCAGAACAAAGCCTCATTCTCATATTCGACCTCTCTCTCCCTCACAATCCTCTCACAAACAGAGAAATACAATATCAGTGTGGACGTAGCCCAAATATTGGGGTGAACCATGATACATTTTGTGTTCTTTACTTTCTTGCATATTCACGGTCGAATTTATGTTGTTCCGAGACCCCTCCGATTTTATACATAAACAAAACTTATTGAATTTAATTTAAGAGTAAATATTATCGTTTAAAGCTGTCTCATTACATGTTGTACACCTAAACAATAAGTCTAAGGAATTGTTGACCCTAAAAACTACTTAGCCTACGTGGTGTGCATGCTGAATAGCTAATAAGCTAATTACGTCATTCGGTCAAATGTGGGGCGTGCCTACTTGTCGGCCAAGCTCAGCCGGGGAGTGAATGAATGTTGATGTGGCATTGGGCACGCTGGTGACTTATGAATCTTACTACGGCCAAGGAAGGAATATGTCTCGGCTTTGGGTTCCTAGGAGAAACCACGCCACAAAAAAGACAACGCGAACTCTATTGAAGTTTTACATAGCTCCCACTTCTGAAAAGCTGTAGACATCATAGACTCGAGAGAGAGCTATACAGTTAACTCATTGCCTACCACTGAATGTGTTAAACTTGAAAAAAAAAATTAAAAAAATAGAAAACTAGCTAACTCACCAGAGAAAGCTTCTAGAATCAAACAACATCACTACATGAAAAGTCTTAACTGAAAACCATTGAGTAGAAACACTTATCGGAGCTAAAAATAATCAAGAAAAATATAGAGGCGACACATTGATTTTTAGGTGAAAAAGATAAAATTACCCTTAAGGCACACCGGAACTCCCACATGCAAGTAATGGATAATAACAGTTCAATCAAGGTCAAAGGTGGTTAAAATAGGTATTTATTTAAAACCTATTTCATCAATCCTCATCAAATCCACCTAACTCCCAATTAATATTTCAAATTAAGATTGATTACCAAAATTAATTGATTAATTTTCTAATTGATTGCAAGATATTATTTTGATATAATATCTTGCAATTAGAGCTAAAAAACCATCATAAGTGGCCATATCCCTTTTCCCCAAAAAATTAAGGTAATGCTAGAAAAACCAAATTACAAAGTTAAATTTTATAAACCAGATGATGTTGATGTTGATGTTGATGATTGGGCTATTACAAGTGTTTAATTAACGTTCTTATTTTTTATTAGCAACACCTTATTTAGTTTGTTAATTTAGTTTAAAACAATCATAAAAATTCTTAAGGTTCATTGGAAAGATTTTGTGCAACTGTCTCTTGTACGTCTTGTGGATTACCATTATTAATTCAAAAGATTAGAGAATCCATAGTAACCGGATTCATTCGGACCCAAATAAATTGGGTTAAAAATCAAAGGAATCAGATTAATAAAATTTGATCCAACAATTACAATTATTATAATTTTTAGAGGGCTCCTTTGTTTGTAACCATGAGATCAAATTTCAACGATCAGAATCCTTTGCTCAGGAGGCTCAATTTATTTGGATCAGGAGGAAATCTGATTCCAGAATGGAATGTTCGATAGCAAGCTAGATTATTTATATTTAATTTGTAGCAATAATTTTTGTTTGTTTGTGTTGAATGGACCCCTTAAATTAACAAGGGAGACCAAGACTTTTAGTCTTGCGTTGATAGTTTTTTGTATTTTCAAGGAAGAATAACGCGTGACAAGTCACGATTATCCATTATTTTTGGAAGTTGAAAGATTCAAACTCTTGGCTACAAGTTTGACTTCCACACCAGAAGCGAGTTTTGAACTCGAGAACTCCATTTTTAGTAGAATTATCAGAGAGACGGGCTATACGACCCACTTTCAACAGCACCGATATTGTCCCTAAGTTAGTAATTACCACCTGCACAATCCATCATTTGTGAGGGTTTTATCAACAAATGCCTTGTGGTTAGTTGGAGTGGGTTATGATTTTAAACTCTTTCTTTTCTCATTGATACGGTCGATGTGGGACATTTCAACACGCTCCCTCACGTGGGACCTAATTAGTGGGTCACACGTGGGAGATCCACACATCGACAACGACAACCACAACCACAACCACGTGGAGCCAAGGGGACTCACCTTATACGCGGGGCCAAGGGACCCACCATCATCTCGCGGGGCCAAGGGGACCCACCTATCACGTGGCAGTACAATACAGGCCCACTCCCTAGCTTTGATACCAAGTAAAATTATCAGAGAGACGGGCCAAATGCCCACTCCAACAACACCGATATTGTCTTCAACTTGTTAATTACCACTTGCACAATTCGTCAAGTGTAGGGTTTTATCACAAAGGAGATTATTGTCCCCACTGGTAATTACAGTGCACAATCGTCAGGTGGGTTTTATCACAAAAGGCTTCAGTGTTAGTTGGAGTGGGATTAAGATATTTAAACTCTTTTTTGCTCATTGATACGGTCGATGTGAGCCATTTCAACCTTATTTAATTTGAAAAAAAATCTCAAAATCTGCCATTTATTACGTCCTCCTAGCTCGTAGTTTTTTATGTTGATATTTTAAGATGAAAGAAAATAGTTTCTGCACAACATCTTTTCACATTTTATAAGAAAAAAACAAATATATCACAAGTGTAAAGATGTAAAAGTTATGTAAAAAAAAAAAAAACTAATGAAAATGGCTTAAAAACTTTGAGTTTTAACGATAAGGACAAAATAAAGAGTAAAGTGAATAATACCATGATTGACTTTTTAGTGTAAAAATGTGGTTTTTCGTTAAAGTGAACAGTAACGATAGCTTTTCGTTAAAATTTCTAAAAAGAAATGCATAAATCAGATTGTTAAAGAAACTGTACTCAATTGCTGAAAATTTAGTTGGCGGGATCTCTCAGTGCGTTTGCTCTGCAGTTTAGTTGGTGGTCTTGGAAGCTTTCGTTGTTAAAGATCATCGTGGCAAGCATCATCTTCCTCGCTACTTATCCCACACGAGAAACAATTCTGTATAAGATGCAAGGCAACATTTTGCAACTTTGTGCTACAATTCATTCAATGTTCAATAGAAAGCAAGGAACATTTTCAATTAGCTCTTTTTTTTTTTTTCTTCTAAATCAAGAAAACAATCTACAATGTTACAGTATTTACAGGTTTGCTAAAGAAAATTAAAATCTCATGTCGAAACTTCACAAAATAAATTACTACATGTATAATGATTAATTTCACTACTATTACCATCGAAAAGAAAATATCAGTGTTGATTAGTCTTGATAAACACCTTTTTGGGGTATATGCAAGTGTTCAAATCTTTGAACAATACTTATCAATAAAAAGTCAGCAGACATGGGGTCCACTTTTTCAAGCACTGTAGTGAAAATTCCGAGAAGTCCACCTCAATTACGTAATTGAGTTAGTACTACATAAACACCTTTGAACGTGATAATTAATGTGCGTGCTATGAATATATTATTACGAATGATTATGCCTAATCACCTATTCCTAACACTACCTATCTTCTTCTTCATCGTCAACTTCTTGATTGTCTTCCCCTCTGCTATTGGGGATGACAATCTCCGATATTCAGAGTGCCGCAGCTACTACGACTGTGGCCCCCTTAAAAACATCTCCTACCCCTTCTGGGCCACCGGCAGCCGCCCCCAACACTGCGGCCGCGAAGACTACGAGCTCACCTGCCGAGAAGATCAATACCCTGTCATGAAAATTGAAGACCAGGATTTTCTTGTGTTGAACTTAAGTCGACAGTTTTACACCATGACAATCGCTCGCTCAGATCTCTGGGACACCCCCTGCACTGACAACATCGTCAACACCACTTTGGACTACGACCGGTTTTCGTACGTCCCAGCTGTTCGGAACCTGACGCTGCTCTACGGCTGCCAGCCGGGAAACATATCCGTACCAAATAACTTCACTTGCAAGGTAAAGGGTACGGACCGCGACGATATTTCGTACTATGTCGACGACTCTTTGAGCATTCGTATGGGAAATTGGACCTCGTGTTATTTGAATTTTCGAGTTCCGATTATGTGGGAGGGTGTGGATGTTATGCCTGACACGCCGGATAAGCTCAAACAGGTTTTGAAACAGGGGTTTCAGGTGGGGTACGAGGCGGAGTGGGAGCTCTGTCGGCTATGTGTATTATCCAATGGAACCTGTGGGTCGAACTCGAATTCTGATTCGTTTGTCTGTTATTGCGGTGATGGACCTCGTGATCGAATATGTTCGCGTTCTGGTGGTATGTATATCAATTTCTTCTTTATTTCTCCATTAATTCAGATCAGTTTTCTTCGTTTAATTTAGGGTTCTTTAAATATAAGTCCATACAATATTTATTTCCTTGACAAAAATCCATTTCATTTTAAACATCCAAATAAAATTCAAATTTGAAGTAGACTGCCATGTATACAAATAAATACCTATTATTTTTAAATTATTTGCAATTGGGCCACAACACTCTAATTATGTTAATGAATTTAATTATCCACCATAATTGTGAGAAATAAGTGCCTTATTATTATAAAATTATCTACTTTATACTTCTCTTACCATCATATGTTTCATTTCTTTTATTTGTTTGACAATCATTGTAGGTAAATTATTTTGCATGTATGTATTAGACACATTTTGTTAAAATTATATATATGCGTACAAATAATTTATCTATATTTTTATGTAAAATAATATGTAATTAATTAATTTGAATCAATTGGCTAAAAATATATATTTATTTTGTAGGTAAATTATTTTTCATGTGATATTACATATATACTAGCCATATTTTGTTATTATTATATGGAATTGGATCCCCTACTGAGCAAATGACAGGGATCCTCATGACCACACAACACGGACCGTTGGATTTTGATCCAACGGCTACAAATAGGAAGTATCTCTAAAAATTATAATAATTGTAGCCGTTGAATCAAAATCCAACGGTCCGTGTTGTGTGGTCATGAGCATCCCCACCATTTGCTCAGGAGGGGATCCAATTCCTTATTATATAAAGTGTGCAATCAATCTGTAGACATCGAAATTTCGTAAATAAATGTTGACCGGTAAATCAAAGTGTCAACGCTCATGTATTACATAAATTTTACACGTAGCGTGTGACTCAACGAAAATTGAAATGAGTTGGAAAAGTCATCAAATAGGACACGTGTCAACACCTGGCAGAAACGACTTATTTCATCTGGGATATTATATTCAAAATTAGGCCTTGGAAAATTCTATAAATACAAGCCTATTTCATTCATTTTAAAAAAAAAACCAATTCATATTACACCTTGAAGCTCTGAAGCTCTGAAGCTCTGAAACTCCGAAGCTCTCAAGCATCCAGGTTCCCGAAGAATCAAGAAAGTGTTCTTCGTTCTTCGTTCATCGTTCTTCCAAGATCAAGCCTCGACGGCCCTTGGATCAACAATCATCCACCTTCAAGATCAAGCCCCGACGGCCCTTGAAGAAAGTGTTCTTCGTTCTTCGTTCATCGTTCTTCCAAGATCAAGCCCCAACGGCCCTTTGGATTAACAATCATCCACCAATTCAAGATCAAGCCCCGACGGCCCTTGAAGAAAGCACCATCGTTCATCATCCGTTCATCCAAGATCAAGCCCCAACGGCCCTTTGGATCAACAACGTCGACAAATCCACACATCCAACCGTTCTTCAAGATCAAGCCCAAAAGCCCTTGAAGATCCGTTCATCACTGTTCTTCAAGATCAAGCCCAAAAGCCCTTGGAGATCCGTTCATCACTGTTCTTCAAAGATCAAGCCCAAAAGCCCATTTGAAGATCCGCTCAAATCCACCTTCAAGATCAAGTCCACGGCCCTTGAAGAACGTTCATCCTTAGATCAAGCCCAACGGCCCTTTTGGATCAATCGCACATCCACAAATACACACCTTACGGAGATCGAATCAGAGGATCAAAATAGAGAGAGATTGTAACCCAAAATCATCAAATACAAATATTTGTTTGTGCACGTCGTTGTTCTTGTCTCTTTCGTTTCAGGAATTTTCCGTGTTCACACAATCGACATTCTTTTATCTTGTAGGTAAATTATTTTGCTTGTAGGTAAATTGTTATATATATATATATATTTTTTTTTTTTGCAAAATATTGGTATTTAATTAATTTTGAAAAAAAATATTTATTTATTTTGTAGGTAAATTATTTTGTATATGTCATTACATAATTTACTAGGAACTTATATTGTTATATATGTTGTGAAAAATAATTTACCTATGTTACATTTAAAATATTGCTAATTTGAAATAAAATAACTTTTTTATATTAGTAGGATATACTATTTTACCTGTTAGCATCATGTGAAAACAACTGTATAAGGAACATTGGTATCATGTAAATTAGGAATTATGACATTTCAATTTTTTTCCAAATCTCCATAAAGTATTTGAACGTTTAATTGAATGAAATAATGTAAAATAAATGTAGATAATGAGTGAGAGACCCAAAGTAAGTGTTATTAGGGGTAATTTAGACATCCAAGAATACAAATTTTGCCAAGTCAAACTTAATTATGGATATTGCTTAGTTAGAGCCTAGTCATTGGGTTTTAGTTAGAGAAATTTATCATGATGGATTTTAATTAAAGAAAATTGAATTTCAAGGGGTGTACTCATATTTTCAGTTTAAGATAAGATTAGGGATCGTAATTAAGTTAAGTCTGATTTAAAGCAGGGTTTTTGGTTTGGAGTTTCCATTATTAGTCAAATTTTCTGATTATCTTATTTTTTTGCCCTCGGTATTCTAAGAATCCTGCTACTTTGATTGCTTTTGCAGACAGTACATCGAATCGGAAAAGGATGGTTATTGTAGGTAATATATCAGCAGCCCTTTATAAATCAACAGACTAAAACAAGGAAGGAATGGAAAAGGAGAGACGAGAGTGCGAAAATCACTCTCAACTGTTATTACTGCAGCTATATTAATGTGTACTATTTTCTGTTTTACAAATGCTGTAAGACAAAGCAATATACTCCATATCAACCTATTTTCCTATTTCTGTTCAGAATACATTAAACTTACTAACCATTAATCATCTTGTGGCCTGCAACAGCTGCTTCTGCTGCTGGAAGTGTGCTCATGATCTGTGGTATTGTTCGCTGTATTCAAGCTAGGAAGCAAATTTTCAAGAGAAGCAACAATCAAGATCTCGAGGCTTTCATAAGGACTAATGGACCTCTAGCAGTAAAAAGATACAAGTTTTCAGAAATCCGAAAAATGACCAAGTCATTTGAAGATAAACTAGGTCAAGGAGGTTATGGAGATGTGTACAAAGGCAATCTGCTGGATGGTAGTCCTGTCGCTGTTAAGGTTCTCAAAGCATCCAAAGGGAGTGGAGAGGACTTCATAAACGAGGTTACAAGCATTAGTAGAACTTCCCACGTCAATGTTGTCACTTTGTTAGGGTACTGCTTTGAAGGTCAGAAAAAAGCTCTCATATATGAGTTCATGCCCAATGGATCACTCGAAAAGTACATTTACAACAAAAATGCTTTGCAAACGAGTAATCCACAATTGGAAGTGGAACAACTACTCGATATTGTTACTGGGATAGCTCGAGGACTCGAGTACTTGCACCTAGGATGCAACACGCGAATTTTACATTTTGACATAAAACCGCATAATATTCTTTTGGATGAAAACTTTTGCCCCAAGATTTCTGATTTTGGGCTTTCGAAACTTTGCCTCAACAAGGAGAGTATTATGTCGATGTTGGATGCAAGAGGGACAATTGGGTATATTTCTCCCGAAGTGTTTTGTAGAAACTTTGGAGGAGTTTCAGTTAAGTCTGATGTCTACAGCTATGGAATGATGGTTCTGGAGATGGTTGGAGGAAGAAAGAACATCAATGCTCGAGCTAGCCACACGAGTGATGTTTGTTTTCCGGATTGGGTTTATAAGCAGCTTGAGATGGGCAGCAGTTTAGGGTTGCCCAATGGTGTGATAGAAGAGGAAAACGAACTCGCGAGGAAGATGATTTTGGTAGGGTTGTGGTGCATACAGATGAAGCCATCAGATAGGCCATCTATGAGTAGAGTGATTGAAATGCTGCAAGGAAGCATTGAAGCCTTGCAAATACCACCAAAGCCTGTCCTAACTTTTCCACCACCAGAATTTTCCTCGTTATCAATTACATGTTCTTTTCTGGATTAATTGGTGTACATCTTATCGATAATTCAGTTCCTATGCTATACCAGGCTTGGACCATGTCTCCCGAACAATCTCAACATATGGCACAAGACGATTCCACATATTGAGGTCAAAATGGGATTGGGTGTTTTCACGTCTCACCGTAGTGCCCAGTTCGTCTTTCTGATTGACGAACAAGAAGGTAATTTACTTGCTCGACCATAGGAAGAGGAAGCTTGCTTACGGGCTGTCACCCTCAGTGACCACTAGAAGAAATTTTTAAAAGCAGTGACTTTATCTTCTATCTACTTGTTAAGGCCTATCCTTTGACTTCTTTATGTTTTTTTAAATAATTAATGTAGTTAGCATAATGCTTTTAAAGCTCTAGTAAAGATATATGTGGTTGTTTATGTAATGTAGTGCTTTATGTAGTACAATAGTAGTAATGAATAAATACAACAACAACAACAACAAAGCCTTTTCCCATTAAGTGGGGTCGGCTATATGAATCCTAGAACGCCATTGCGCTCGGTTTTGTGTCATGTCCTCCGTTAGATCCAAGTACTCTAAGTCTTTTCTTAGAGTCTCTTCCAAAGTTGTCCTAGGTCTTCCTCTACCCCTTCGGCCCTGAACCTCTGTCCCGTAGTCACATCTTCGAACCGGAGCGTCAGTCGGCCTTCTTTGCACATGTTCAAAATCACCGGAGCCGATTTTCTCTCATATTTCCTACAATTTCGGCTACTCCTACTTTACCTCGGATATCCTCATTCCCAATCTTATCCTTTCTCGTGTGCCCACATATCCCACGAAGCATCCTCATCTCCGCTACACCCATTTTGTGTACGTGTTGATGCTTCACCACCCAACATTCTGTGCCATACAACATCGCTAGCCTAATTGCCGTCCTATAAAATTTTCCCTTTAGCTTCAGTGGCCTACGATGGTCACACAACACGCCGGATGCACTCTTTCCATCCAGCTCGTATTCTATGGTTGAGATCTCCATCTAATTCTCCGTTCTCTTGCAAGATAGATCCTAGGTAGCGAAAACGATCGCTTTTTGTGATCTTCGCTAGATTGCTCCGGTCATTAGTGTGGATAAGTATATAAATGGATAGAGATAGGAAAGCAAACACAAGATGTACGTGGTTCACCCAGATTGGCTACGTCCACGGAATAAAAGAGTTCTCATTAATTGTGAAGGGTTTACACAAGTACATAGGTTCAAGCTCTAATTTAGTGAGTACAAGTGAATGATTTAGTACAAATGACATTAGGAAATATTGTGGGAGAATGATCTCGTAATCACGAAACTTCTAAGTATCGGAGTGTGGTGTCGTCTTGACTTGCCTTATCTGTCTCATAGGTAGATGTGGCATCTTCTCTGGAAGTACTATTCCTCCATCCAGGGGTGGTATCTTTAACTGGTGGAGATGCACAAGGTAATGTATCAATTTCACTTGAAGCTTACTTGTAGTTTCAGGCTTGGTCAAGCGCGATACAAACCATGTAGTAGGAGTCCCCCAAGTCGCCGAGCTAGGGGGTCTGCTGAAAAAGGTGACAGACAAGGTAAGCAATCAGAGCTCCGACTGATTGTTCACCTTCTCCCCATCTTGCAGCAGCATGAAGGATAAAGAGAAGAAAAATGAGAAGAGATGATATGAGATACTTTTGCTTTTGAAGAAGTAACTTTCCACAGGCTTATTCTTGAACTGAGCTGGAGGGTTTTCTGGTTTCCTCCAGAGTATAAGGCCGACTGAAGAATTTGAGGGTCAAAACAAGTCCATCAAATCTAGAGTACGTTCCACCCTGCTGATATGGGATACTTTTGCTTTTGACAGAGTAATGAATGTATCGGCACGTGTGCTGTTACGCTTGTCTCCACATGCTTCCTTGTATCCTTCGCACTTGCCCTATCTGTTCCTCAAGCAGAAACGGAATCTTCCCTGGAAACATAAGATGTTGAAGATGAGTACTCGAGAGCAATGCCAGGTAAGTAATCAGGTAAGGGGTTCCAGGCAGTCAGCTCCTGGCTGGAAGCTTGATTCCAAGTGCTGACTGATTGCTCTCTTTCTCCTTGTCTTGCAGGTAAAAACAAGGCCAAAAGAAAAGACAGGGAAAAAGCATGATATGGGATACTCTTGCTTTTAACCCTGATGATATGAGATATTCTTGCTCTAGTATAGCTTGTTTGCAGAGGTATTATCGGGGGGAAAGAAAGCTGAATATTTCGAAAGGCTTCGTTGGGAGTGCCCTCTCAGATATGATGAAGGGTTGAGCATTTTTGCAGGTCTGCCTGTCCGTTGGGGATGGAGGTTGACATATATAGGAGTCTCCCTAACAACAAGTAGTAATGCTATTCCTTTACCCTGCTTGGTCATAGCACGGTAATGGGAGCTGCCAGTTTCACATGTTTTAACTCTGTCAGAGCACTTTGAAAAAGTGGTTTGTGGTATCTGGCTCTCGAGATTCGGAGAACGATGCCTCTTCGATTTTTGAGAAAGCAATCATGCTGGGGGTATGAGTCTCGAGATTCGGAGAGCAGTGTCTCTTCGATTTTTGAGGAAGTAATCATGTTGGGAGTCTGGCTCTCGAGATTCGGAGGGCGGTGCCTCTTCGATTTTGGAGCAAGCAATCTTGTTGGGAGTGTTGTCTCGAATGTGAGTAAAGGTTGGGCATGTTTGCTAGTCTACCTTGCCACGAAGCACAAAGGTTGACACACAGGGACTTTCCAATTATCCAGCAATGGTACTGTTCCTTTACCCTCTCTTCGATTTTGAGAAAGTAGTCATGTTGGGAGTCTGGCTCTCGAGATTCGGAGGACGGTGCCTCTTTGATTTTGGAGCAAGCAATCTTATTGGGAGTGTTTTCTCGAATGTGAGTAAAGGTTGGGCATGTTTGCTAGTCTACCTTGCCACGAAGCACAGAGGTTGACACACAGGGACTTTCCAATTATCCAGCAGTGGTACTGTTCCTTTACAGTTGTGTGGGTAATAATATGGTAGCTAGACCTTCAAAATTTATGTGTGTAAACTTTTGTTAGTGCTGTTTCTTTGCTATTCTTTTACCTTTCTTGGTCAGAGCGATGTAGTGGGAGCTGCAAGCTTCACGTGCTCAACTTTGGCAGAGAACTTTGGCAAAGTTATTTGTGGTACCCATGAGCTATTGTTGCGTGTGGGAAGTGGGTGATTGAACAGTAAGATTCATGTGCTTTCTACTTCACCAGAAGTCTTCGACAGAATGCCCATAATTTCTGCAAAGCTGAGTGTGTGCGTGTGACAGGTGCTGACAAGGCTAGAAAAGTAGGTGCCTCTTCGATTTCTGAGATCGGCCCTCGTGGTCTCTGAGCAGCCCAGCTTTTGAGAAAGCGAGCGCCTCTTCTTCGATTGATTCGGAGAACGATGCCTCATCGATTTTTGAGAAAGCAATCATGCTGGGGGTCTGGCTCTCGAGATTCGGGGAGCAGTGTCTCTCTTCGATTTTTGAGAAAGTAATCATGTTGGGAGTCTGGCTCTCGAGATTCGGAGGGCGGTGCCTCTTCGATTTTGGAGCAAGCAATCTTGTTGGGAGTGTTTTCTCGAATGTGAGTAAAGGTTGGGCATGTTTGCTAGTCTACCTTGCCACGAAGCACAAAGGTTGACACACAGGGACTTTCCAATTATCCAGCAATGGTACTGTTCCTTTACCCTCTCTTCGATTTTTAAGAAAGTAGTCATGTTGAGAGTCTGGCTCTCGAGATTCGGAGGACGGTGCCTCTTCGATTTTGGAGCAAGCAATCTTATTGGGAGTGTTTTCTCGAATGTGAGTAAAGGTTGGGCATGTTTGCTAGTCTACCTTGCCACGAAGCACAGAGGTTGACACACAGGGACTTTCCAATTATCCAGCAGTGGTACTGTTCCTTTACCCTTGTGGGTAATAATATGGTAGCTAGACCTTCAAAATTTATGGGTCTAAACTTTGTTAGTGCTGTTTCTTTGCTATTCTTTTACCCTTCTTGGTCAGAGCGATGTAGTGGGAGCTGCAAGCTTCACGTGCTCAACTTTGGAAAAGGCTGGAAAAGTAGGTGCCTCTTCGATTTCTGAGATCGGCCCTCGTGGTCTCTGGGGAGCCCAGCTTTTGAGAAAGCGAGCGCATCTTCGATTTTTGAGATCGGCCTTCGTGGTCTTTGAGTAGCCCAACTTTTGAGAAAGCAAACGCCTCTTCGATTTCTGAGATCAACCCTCGTGATCTCTAAGCAGCCCAGCTTTTGAGAAAGCAAACGCCTCTTCGATTTCTGAGTAGGCGCCTCTTCGATTTCTGAAGCTTCGTCGAGTGCAGATTTTTATAGGGGCTGGCATTAAGTTCCAAAGCACACTTGAATCTCCACCAGTACAAGCTTCATTCTTGCACTTCTAAGATCTTGATTTGTCCGACCTCTTCTCTCTTCAACACCTTTGAAAATGTCTGGCCCCTCCGACCGTCGTTTTGACTTGAACCTTGTTGAAGAGGCAGCCCCGCCTTCTCCAGACAACATATGGCGCCCATCCTTCGTCTCCCCTACTGGTCCTCTTACCGTTGGGGATTCCGTGATGAAGAATGATATGACCGCTGCGGTGGTGGCCAGGAACCTTCTCACTCCCAAAGATAACAGACTACTTTCCAAACGGTCTGATGAGTTAGCTGTTAAGGATTCGCTGGCTCTCAGTGTTCAGTGTGCAGGTTCTGTGTCTAATATGGCCCAACGCCTATTTGCTCGAACCCACCAAGTTGAATCATTGGCGGCTGAAGTGATGAGTCTCAAACAGGAGATTAGAGGGCTCAAGCATGAGAATAAACAGTTGCACCGGCTCGCACATGACTATGCTACAAACATGAAGAGGAAGCTTGACCAGATGAAGGAAACTGATGGTCAGGTTTTACTTGATCATCAGAGATTTGTGGGTTTGTTCCAAAGGCATTTATTGCCTTCGTCTTCTGGGGCTGTACCGCGTAATGAAGCTCCAAATGATCAACCTCTGATGCCTCCTCCTTCTAGGGTTCTGTCCAGTACTGAGGCTCCAAATGATCCCCCTCCGGTGCCTTCTCTTTCTGGGGCTCTACCGACTGCTGAGACTTCTCCTAAGCAACCTTTGTGAAGGCTCCCTCTTGTGTGCTTATTTTGACTCATGTATATGTACATATTTGTAGCTTATCGGGGATATCAATAAATAAGCTTTCCTTCATTTCAACGTATTGTGTTAAATACACCAAAGCCTTCTTCGCTAAGTTCTTTGAATTTTCTTTTGTTAAAGCTTGTATGTTGAAGCTTTCTGAGTGGAGCATGTAGGTTGGGGTAGTGTTCCTTTAATTTCCCGAGTGAGGAAAACTTCTCGGTTGGAGACTTGGAAAATCCAAGTCACTGAGTGGGATCGGCTATATGAATCTTAGAACGCCATTGTGCTCGATCCTGTGTCATGTCCTTCGTTAGATCCAAGTACTCTAAGTCTTTTCTT